GTTGATAAAAGGAACTAAGCTTAGGGGAACTCTTTCGGGAAAGTAGAAGAATGTTTTAAATAAAGTTATTCGAAGCTAAAGGGAGAAAAAAAAAAATCTTAAAAAAAAATAATAATTTTTTATTTACATAACCAGCACTTGTTAAAACACCAGGGTCCTTATCTGCTGCCAGGTGAAACCCTCAGGCAGATACTTCTTAATGCAAAGGAATTTCGTTCTCTGGTAGTTAACAGGTGATTAATGGAAAGACAAACTCATCGAGAAAACGGGCAATTTACGGTCCAAACTTTTCAGCCCTTACCGGCACACACGTGTTCCCATCAATTTGATTCGGGTTTCATTAAGCGGTCGGATTTATGGAGTTAATTTAGTACCCAGACACAGGAGGGCGGACCACGGCAAGCAAAGACACATGGGTCTGCCAGCAGAGAGACAAACATAACTCGATTTCAGACGCCAAAATATATTAAGCCGAAAACACAAGGATTTTCGCGTGACTCCAGCACCGAATGTACCCCTCGAAACGATCGGTGAAAACGACAGCACACGCGGCTAATCTGTGCCTCAGGTACAGAACCGGGCAGCTTCGCAGCTTTCCTTCCCAGGGGCGGGTGAGGGTAACAAAGTTATCCTTTCACCACAGAAAAAACGCAATTCGCCAGGAGAAAGAACGCGTCAATCCGCGACGCACGGCTGCCTGCGCTTTATGCTGTTTTTCGGAGGGAAAAGTCGCAGGAATCAGCGAGTTTCCGCCCCAGAAGTCGTTGTTCCCCAAGCTCGCAACCCTTCCCAGTGTTGGTTTTTTTGGGTTTTTTTTTTAAGGAATCAAAGACCCCTCTCCCCTCTGCATTTGAAGCAAAAAAATATTAAAGTCGGCGTGACCGGTTTCGGATTTACCGCAACCACACGTGAGACGGAGCCCGTTTGAAGGATGGGGGGGTAACACACAGAATTCAGCCAAACACTAGGAAATCACACTCCTTTTTTTCTTTTCCTTTGGAGGCTGTCGCTCAATTAAAGCAACAGAAGCACAGGCACAGGTTGTAGCAGCTGGACTTTAAAACCCGCCGGAGTTTTCAGTGTCCATCAGAAAGCCACAAGGGGATAAAACATCCCGGGGGGGATATTTAGGCTGGGGTTGTTTTGTTGGTTTTTTTTTTTTTTCGAAACCACCTAATTTTTAATTTCGACCACCGAATCGAGATAAAACCCGGGAAAACTCCCGAACTGCCACTTTCGAGGCGTGGAAGGAAAGGAGATAAAAGCCGGGCCTGTGTGTCCCTCCACGGAAAGAACAAAGTCGCTGCAGAGAACAGGCTGAGCTGGGCCAAGGTGAAACTCCTCCCACGGGAGGGGGGGTATTTCTGCAAACACAAACAGGCCTTTATCGGGGCGATTTATCCTTGGAAGCGCACTTGGAGGAACACTTCAAGGAAGACCACTTGCCACCTGCCTTAAAGACTTCCAGAGCACGCTTCCAAAACCTCACTGGCGCAGGGGACGGATGGGTGTGCAGATTTTTAGGGCTGGCGCTTCCCGGCTTCAAATGAACCAAACTGTTTTAAGAGCAATTCGCTTCTGACAGGGAGCCTAAACTGTGTTTATTTTATGAGAAGACTTCACGTGCAAACGGAGAATCAGAAGGGCTCCTCCACTTGAGCACAGCAACACCCACTTGGCAGAGCTCTCGACACTTTATTAATTTCAGTGCCCTCTCACACGGAAACCTGGTAACAGTCACAAAACGCTGTGTGCAAGTTTGAAACAGACGCTGTTTGAAAGCTCTCAGGAGGCAGGATGGCTGAAACTGCTCTGCAGAGCACAAACCTTCCTGGAGGGGTGTGTTAAAGCCAAACGACGATCCAGAGCTGCGCTCCAGGGAATCTCCAAGGAAAGCTCCCGGGCTGTGAAGGCTCGAGCCATCTGGGGAGGCCAGGTGTCCAAAACCACCCCTCGTGAATTTATTCCAGCTCCAGATGCCTGAGCATCCTTCTTCCTTTGCTTTACAGCAGCAGCACTAACTGCACCCGGCGCTCTGAAACGACCTCTCCGCGCTCCAGGGGAAGAGAAATTTGTTCACCGGAACTCCCAACAGTTCTTTTTAAGCGCTGTCCAACACCACCCCGGCTCTGTGCCTTCACTCAGGGCTGGCCAACGCTGCTGTTTTTTCCCTTCTTCATGGGAATCTCTATCGTCATGAAGTCCTCAGCCAGCGTCACCCCCTGTCCCCCCAGCGCGGACTCCGCCTGCCTCCTCAGCTCGGCCACGTCCGCGTCCCCCTCCCCTGCCTGGCCGGACGGCTTGTACCTCTGGCTGAAGTGGGTCAAAACCAGCCTCCTGGCCCGGCACAGCCTGGCAAAATCCGAGGCCATCCCGGGGGTGCTGTGCCCGTGCTCCCTGGCCTTCTCCTGCTGGGTGTCGTCCAGCGTGGCCTCGTGCACCAGCAGGTCGGCGTCGCGGCAGAGCCGCGGGGCCTCGTCCCCCAGCGCCCCCGAGCAGTCCCCCAGGATGCACACCTTCCTGCCGGGAATGGGCTCTTCCAGCACCTCGGAGGGAGAGATCCTCACTCCGTTTTCCAGCACGACTGCGGCCCCGCCCTTCAGCTTCCCGTACAGAGGGCCCGGCTGAACTCCTGGCAGACGGAAAGGCGAAAAAGAGCCCGTGAGTAACAATAATAATAATAAGTAATCACACTAGCTACACTCTAAGTATATGGCGTGTCAGGTTTAAACAAAGATCACTTGGAATGTGCTACGTGTAGAGCTGGCTCGCTGAAAAAAACCCACGGTGTCAGTACAAAAAAAATCAACCGACATTTCGCGTTTTTCACACAAATAAAGAGCCCGTCACGTTAGCAGGAAGTGTGTTTGAAGAAAACCACAGAAACATGGCATGGTTTGAGTCAGAAGGGATTTTAAGGGTCATGGGCAGGGGCACCTTCCACTAGACATGGTTGCTCCAAGCCCTGTCCAACCTGGCCTTGGACACTCCCAGGGATGGGGCAGCCGCAGCTTCTCTGGGCAACTATAAAAATAATAAAAAAAAAAAGCCATATTTTTCTCACTAAAGTCAACAAAGCCATGAAAATACACTGGCCATGCATTTTCCTGAAAGCCACGCTGAGCTTTTTAAACTTCATCCCCCTGAACTTGCTTGCTCTTCCCAGTATGAAAACGGGAAATTAAACGCAGCGTTAATTGGCATTAGTGTCACACGCCCATTCAGAACCCTGCATGGCTACGGAGCATTACAGTGCCTGTAATGGAAAAATGAATTAAAAGAGATTTATGGAGACGGACAGCAGTTCCTGGTTGCTGCTAGAACCCCCTAGGAAAGGGTGGCCACAAAAAGATTTCAGCTGCCGGGAAACCCGGCCGTGTTACGCTTGCCGAAAACCAGGAGTCACCGCTTGAACACAGGCAATTGGGGATTAAAAAAACCCCCACAAAACAAAAAAAAAAAAACATTAAAAGAAAACCAAAAAGAGGAAAGGTAAGTCCAAGTAGTTACCAAGGTCTTTCAGTTTCTGCACGTTGAGCCTCCCAGGCCGGGGCTTCTCCTCCAGCACGAAGCCGAAGGAAGGGACGCGGTGAAAGAGGCGGAACGCCCTCAGCACCAGCTGCTCGTCCTCCTCCAGCAAGTAGGAGCCCTCTCCCGGGTCCAGGCGCAGTATTCTCCCTCCAGGGCCCTGGGCGGGAACCTCACCCCTGTCCAAGTGCGAGAAGTCCCTGAATTCCTCCGCGGGGCACTGGTCCCGCGTGGGCACCAGCTCGTGGACGGCGTAGGGAAAGAGGAGCTGGGAGTGGGACAGCTCCAGGCTCCGCCACAGGAAGCTCCTCAGCCCTAAAGGCCCGTAAATATCCACGGGTGGCTTGCTGGGGTCGGGGTTGCTCTGCAGGCTGAGCGTGCACAGCAGGCCGGGGAGCCCGAAAAAGTGGTCGCCGTGGAGGTGGGTTATGAAAATCTTGGTGATTCTGCCTGTTGGGTTGGAACAGCAGGAAGAGAGAAAACAAAACAGGGGGAAAAAAAGACAGGAAGATAAACAAACCAGGTTCAACCACTCAGAAATAATCGCCGCTCGAGCAAGGGGGTTTTCAATTTTAAAATTATTTTGATTTTAAAAATTAAAACAAAACCGGCGTTCGAGAAATAAAACCCTGAACCAGAGGGGCAACACCGGGGCTTTGCTTCGTGTCTGAGCTGCCTCGCTCCAGCTCTCAGGTGCTTGGGGCCCTGCCCCCCTTGCTGGGTTAAAAAAGCCCAGAATTTTCTCTCGTTGCAGGCACACGTTCTTTAATCAGGGCTGCCTCAGCCTCGCCTGCTGAGTTCCCCCCTCCACAGGGCAAGGCTTCTCCCCCAGCACCTGTCGGAACCAAAGCGAGATGGAAGGGCAGGAGGACCTCCTCCTTTTGGTTTAGTAAAATTAAATTTAGCAAAATCTAGTAAAAAAACCCAGCAAACTTAGGAAAAATTAGTCCATCCACCTGCCACTAAATTCCCTTCGTGTTTTTGGAGGAGCAGGAGCCCGGATTTCTGCCTGCGACTGACGATTCATCTTCATTACCCAGCAGCCAGGAGTCGGCTCCTGCCACGGCAGGCTGTGAAAGCACGGGGACTGCAGGCGAGTCCCGTCCCCAGTTTATCTGCCAAGCCATAAAAGTCACCACGAACGCGCAACAGCCTCGCTTGGAAGGGAAAAAGAAGCGCAGCGTTTGCCCTCAGGGAAGGCACACGGCAGGTTTCGCCCGGAGCTGCCTCCGCGCGAACAACAAACTTTGCTCCGGCTCAAAGCCGGCCCGTGATTCCCACCCTTGGAACCGCAGAGCCCCAGAAACCAGTGCAGGAGGGTCTGGTTCTGGGTTGTGGTCACTGCCCGGCAGGTTCAGCAGCGGGGCAAACCCCTTCGGACGCGCTTGGCCCGTGTTCAGACACCTCGAGGGAGAGGCTTTTCCTTCGGGTCGCTCCGAACTTTTCCCCCCTCACCAAAAAAAAAAAAAAACAAAACAAAACCAAAAACCAAACCGCCTCTCGGCAGCACGGACCTGCCCTGAGGTGGCTCCTCATGAGCTGTGTCTGGGTCCCCTCCCCGCAGTCGAAGAGCCAGCACTCCCCGTCCCGGCGAAGCACCAGCGCCGACGCCCCTCTGGTGGGAGAGGGGTATGCCGAGCCCGTGCCCAGGAAGGTTATCTCCATGGACATCCTGGGTGTGCTGCTGTGGCGCCTGGAAGAGAGATTTTTGAGCTGCTGAACGTCAGGCACTGATTTCTGTGCTCTGCTGAGCAGGGACAGGACCCCAGGAACGGCCCGGAGCTGTGTCAGGGCAGGGTTGGGTTGGATCTCAGGAAAAAGTTCTTCCCCCAGAGGGTGGTTGGGCACTGAACAGGCTCCCCAGGGCAGGGGGCACGGCACCAAAGGCTCACAGAGCTCCAGGAGGGTTTGGATGATCCTCTCAGGGACAGGGTGGGATTGTTGGGGTGTCCTGGTCAGGGCCAGGAGCTGGACTGGGTGATCCCTGTGGGTTCCTGGACTGGATGATCCCTGTGGGTTCCTGGACTAGGTGATCCCTGTGGGTTCCTGGACTGGATGATCCCTGTGGGTTCCTGGAGTGGGTGATCCCTGTGGGTTCCTGGACTGGGTGATCCCTGTGGGTTCCCAGACTGGGTGATCCCTGTGGGTGCCCTCCCAGCTCAGAACACTCTGTGTTTCTATGAATTTACACTGGGAAAGAAACCAGCATTTTTGTTTTAAATGAACGTGCCGCAGTGTGAGGACCAAATTCCCCCCCCCCCCCCCCCAAAAATAAAAAAAATAAAAGCAAAACCTCCCTGGAGCAGGATATGACTTTCAGGCAACAGGTCACTTACAGGCAGATCTTTATGTCAGTGGAAGGCTGCAAACACGCTGCCCAAACACAAGACCTTCGGGGGGTTACCTGGAGAAACAGCCCTTCCCACAGTCGGAATTGCTCCAGACTCTGAACCCACTGTTATTTGTTTCTTCTGTGCTCTGTTTGAACACTGAGTTTTCCTGCCCCGGGCTTTTGCTCCACGAGCCTTTTCAGAGTCACTGGCACCGAACGGCCCCTGTGACATTCACACCCCGCTCCCGGACGTCAGGAAGGGGCAGCCCAGAACCGCAGAGGGGGAGGATTCCCTGGATGGGGGGCTTGGAGCAACCTGGGCTCCCCGGTGGAGGGTGTCCCTGCCCACGGCAGGGGGTGGAACTGGATGAGATTTGAAGTCCCTCCCTTAATCCAGTCCGTGATTCCGTGATTCTCAGAGCAAAGAGCCTCCTCCCAAGCACACCAAGGTGCAACCTGGCCTTGGGGGGCCGGGGAGGGGTGTGACAAATGTCCGTCACACCCCCGAGAGGCGGAAACAAACGTTTTGCTTCCTTTTTCTCCGTGTAAAATCGCAGAAACGTGCAACAACTGAATGGCTTCGGCTGGAGGGGATTTTAAGGATCGTCTTGTTCCAGCTCCCCTGACACGGGCAGGGACACCTTCCACCAGCCCAGGTTGCTCCAAGCCCCTCCAACCTGACCTTGGACACTCCCAGGGATCCAGGGGCAGCCACAGCTTCTCTGGGAAATCTGTGCCAGGGCCTCCCCACCCTCCCGACCAGGAATTCCCCCCCAGTATCCCATCTAGACCAGTTGGAAGCCATTCCCTGTGTCCCGTCCCTCCATCCCTTGTCCCCAGGCCCCTCCCCAGCCCTTTTGGGGCCCCCTGAGGCACTGCCGGGTCCCACCTCCCCCGTATCTCCCGCGGGGCTCCGGGAGCGGGTCCCCGCACGGCTCGGGGACACGGGGATGTGACACCGGGGAGGGGATGTCACACCCCGCTCCGGCCCAGCTCCCGCCCCGCTCCCCATCCCGTCCTACCTCCCCCGAGCGCCCGCCCCGCCGGGACGGGAAGGGGAAGGACCGGGGGGAGGAGGAGGAGGAGGAGGAGGAAGGGCAGGAAGGGAAGGGCTGCGGGAGGGGCCCGGCAGGGCAGAGCCCGCCCCCGGCTTCGTGCTTTTCGGGTCCGGGCAAACGCGCGTGTAAATCGCATCATGGAATTGTTTATGTTGGAAAAGGCCGAGTGCTGGTAGCTGCTCCTGGGCCGGGGCAGCCCCTGGATCAATCCAGGCCAGGGATGAACAGATGGAGCAGCCCTGGGGAGAGGGTCCTGGGGGCTGGTGGGGGAGAGGCTGGACATGAACCAGCCCAGAAACCCCCATGCCCTGGGCTGATCCCACAGCGTGGGCAGCAGGGGAGGGGGGGATTCTGCCCCTCTGTCCCCTCGGGTGAGACCCCCCTGTAGAGCTGCCTCCAGCCCTGGGGAACAACAGCACAGGGACATGGAGCTGTTGGAGCCAGTCCAGAGGAGGCCATGGAGATGCTCCAAGGGCTGGAGCCCCTCTGCTCTGGAGCCAGGCTGGGAGAGCTGGGGGGGTTCACCTGGAGAAGAGAAGGATCCAGGGAGACCTGAGAGCCCCTTGCAGGGCCTGAAGGGGCTCCAGGAGAGCTGGAGAGGGACCTGGGACAAGGGATGGAGGAACAAGGGGGAATGGCTTCCCACTGTCAGAGGGCAGGGTTGGATGGGATATTGGGAAGGAATTTTTGGCTGTGAGGGTGGTGAGGCCCTGGCACAGGTTTCCCAGAGAAGCTGTGTCTGCCCCTCTGGATCCCTGGAAGTGTCCAAGGCCAGGTTGGATGGGGTCTGGAGCAACCATGTCTAGTGGAAGGTGTCCCTGCCCATGGCAGGGGGTGGAACTGGATGATCACTGAGATCCCATCCGACTCAAATCATCCTATGATTCCAGGATTCTGTGGAAAGACCTTTAAGACCCTCACACTGAACCATTTGCAAAGCCCCTCTGCACAGGGACTGCACCAATTCTGTAGAGGTCAAGCATTGTTTGTTGTTTTTTTTTTTTTTTCCTTTTGTCAGAATAAACACAACCAGGTGTGATTTAGGCAAAGGGAATGCATTTTACTAAGAAAATAGAAGACCAGAACACACATTTCAATAGAGTTACAACGTTATAAAGGAGGGGGAAAAAAAAAAAACAAACCAAAACCCATAACCAATCCACATTTACACAGTTTTAGTTTCAGCTGAGCAATGACCCTCCCAGGCACAGCCAACCCCGCACAGATCAGGCTAGAACTGTCCTCACAAGCGCCCCAGCAGACTTACGTTGAGTTGTATAAGGTAGATATGTGTAAGACGGAAACAAAATGCAGGTTATTTTGCTGTTTTACTGACCAAACCAGCCACCTCACTGTGTCTGCGTAGTCCTAGAAGTGTTTTTATCCCTGTTAAGAGTGGAACCACCCGGAGGATGGGTGAGCCAAAGTCAGTGGTACTCGCAGAGCTGAGTGGGGTTCCTGCAGCACGAGCAGAACACCCCATGCCAGAGGACACTTTTTGCACCAGCTGCAGCCGTGGTCCCCCGTGCCACAGGGATGAAGGTGTCGGCACATCTCCCTGCGGAGCAGCCACGAAGGACCATCTCCATCTCCATCTCCATCTCCACGGGGAGCTGGGATCCGGGCAGCCACGGGAGGATGCAGGGGTGAGTCCTGGTGGACCTTCCTCGCCGCTCATCCGCGGGTTTCTGACGCCGTGGTGATGTGCCCTTCGGGGTGGGCAGGCGGGTAGGTCGGTCAAGGCAGGTCCACACAGAATTAGGTGTCCCCTGGCCAGCAGCAGCTGAGTGACTCTGCTCAAATTCAGCTGCCCAGTGGGTGCAATCAGAGGTTTGCTCTGTGTTTCCTCCTTGCTCCAGTACTCAAGAGTTAACACCAGTCCCTGCCTGTCACATATGGAACGGGACAGCAGTACACACCATCCTAAAAAGAGTCCAAAACACAACAGTGGTTTTCTCCAGTTCAGGAATAGCACTTGCAGCTGAGACAGGAGTCCAAAGTGTTCTTACAGTCTGATCTGAGAGTCTTGCAGATAACTTTTATCCAACGGGCAGAGGAGTTCAAATCTGCACCTCTGAGGTCAAGAGGACCCGGAGCAAATGAACAACAGCTTGGGATTGGCTTAGGCCCAGAGTCAGCTGAACTAAAATGCACAGCTGGAGCTGTGCAGTAGTGATCCCCACTCTCCCACACACAGGGCTCCTAATGAGAAACTAAAAGGTGTATCATTCATCTCTGCAGTTACTACCAAGAGCAGCTCGACAGAGAGTTACTTTATCCCCACTTTTGTAAAACAGAGTGCTGGAAACAACAGTCACAGAGAAGACACGGCGGGAAACCTGTTACACACCACTCTGCACGTAAAGTGTCGCTTGGCTTTTAGCTTGGAAAACAAAACACAGCACATCAGGATGCATCACTGCTCACAGACATAACCGAGGACTCGTGCCACGAGCCACCTTTGGGGTTTCAAACTCTATCAGGTACAATGTTTCTTAATGGTCGTCTCCTGCCCGTCATGTTGGCGCCGGGGCGGAGGCTTTGGGAACACACAAACCTTTGTAACATCTTTGAACAAAAAAAACCCCACACGTGCATTTTCATTTAAAAAAAAAAAAAAAAAAAAAAAAAAAAAAAAAAAAAAGCTGCACTCCACCAGCTCTCTGTAATATCCCCAAAACAGGTTGCTGCCAAGAGGCTCAGTCCTGCTCCTGCTGATTTTTCAAGGACAAATCCTGGAAAGGACTGACCTTGGTGGGAGTTCCTGATCCTCTCAGAAGGGTTCTGCGCACCCTAAAGAGTCCTTTATACCATCTGGAGGGCAAAAGTCACCAGGGCTGTGTGACAAGCCAGAACACTACTTATCCTTTGGGTGATGCATTCTTTTAACTTACACTCTGCAGCATCACAAAATGCATCCTGGTGACCACTGTTTCCC